AAGTGTGATCGCTAGAGAGAGAAAGAGAGAGCGAGACTGTTTGGCTGGTCTGATGGATGACCATGTGTGACTGGTGACGATGGTCGATGGGTTTAGGTGGGATCTAGTGTGGTAAGGTGTATTGTAAACTCTGTGGTGTTATTGGTTAAAGACGTTTGAGATGTCTTTAAATTTAATTTCTAACTGTGTCCCTTGGGAGTCGAATTAAAGTGGTCAGAGAGCTAAAACCTGTTTAGGCTTTTAGGTGACTCTTCTAGTCTTTCTTTCTTTTTTTTTTTTTTGGTAGAATTATTAATTAAAATAGAAATGAGAAGATTTATGTAATTTAAAGTTATGGGTTTTTTTTTTCTTATGGTTTCGAAATTTATTTTCCTAAGTAGTGTAATTCGTTTCAAATGTAAAAAATCTTAGCAATTGATAAATTAATATACCTTAGTAATTTATGTAAGAACATTTGTTGATATAATTTAAGAACGATAGTTTGCAATTTTTATTGTGGCTGGTGAAAGAACAATAAGAATAGAAAGAAAAATGATTGGAAAAAAAAATAATAATAACCAAAACGAGAAACTAAATAGGACATGAAAATTGAACAAATGATTATGCTAAATCATAAATGGTAACCAAAAAGTTGAATAAATATTTAACAAAATAATCATTAAAAATCATTTATTTTATTTAGTTTATAAAATTCTTTTATAATTAATGTTTTATATAAATTTAAAATAAAATCTAGTAAAAATTCAAATATTTTATTAAAAAATTCCCTTGAAAGCATTTATTTATTTATTTAAGTATAAATACTAATTTAAAATAAAGTCATAACATTCATTTAAATTTAAAAAATTGACAAAAAAAAATTAGATAAATCTATATTAAAAATATGGAAAATATTATATGTATTAATGTAAATAAAATCTATTTTAAAATTATTTAATAATTAAAAATGAATTTTATAATTTTGTTACTCTTTGTTCCTCTATAATTTTGGGGAGAAACAATTTTGTTCAATAAAGAGGAGAAGTGTAGAACTCACATGTCTGAAAATAGAACAAAAATTTCTTACAAATGGTAAATAGAAATTGAGGAACATGACATTCCTATTCATTATTTTCTTCAAAACTGGTTAGTTACCCGTATTACCTACGGGTTTATGTGTTTAGTTATCGCTAAAAATAATTTTAAAGTATTATTTATATTAGTTCTATGTTTGAAAAATAATAGATTGTATTCTATATTAAATATAATCTAATGTATTAGTTCTAAAGATAAATACAATTTTCAATTATAATGTTTTACGTTATAAACGTATAAACCGCCTAAAATTGTGTAGGCGTTGATTAGGCGTTTTAGGTGGTAGGCACTAGATCACCGCGTTCTTAGCGTCTAGCACTTTCTTGAATATTGATATATAGTAAACATAGAGATTTAGCAGTTTAACCAAGTGGTGAGAGTCTACTCGTTTCCACTTCAGGATGATTTTGTGTAGGCCAAAGATAGATTCTCCTCAAATGTTGACTCCTCACATTTTTCTGTTTTTTTTTTTTTTTTTTGTAAATTGTGTCTGGCCACGTCTCAATTTTGTGTGTGATGATGTAGCACTCATATGGGAAGAGTTGATTGATTACTATACACTTGCAGTTTAACATATGGTAAAACCTTAAAGTGAAAATAATCGCACATCTAGCTTTTTGACGCCATTACCGGAGACTAATTCAAGCTACCATTGAATTCGATAAGAAATCTCTTCTAAGATACTAAGAAACTTTCGTTTATAATTTTTATTTTTTCTGTTTTTCGATAATTTATGTTTCCCTTTTAGTTTCTGTTTTTGGTATTTCAGTGCATGAGTAGGAGTCAAAACCAAGGACGGGTACCTCCATACCAAGACATTGATAGACTTGAACTTGATATCAAAAAACTTCGAAGACAACTACTCATTGCCGATCAAAGGAACCAATACCAAGGTGAACTTGATGATCCACAACAACGTGTCCTACGAACTTGCTGAAGAACAACTCGACCATCTTGTTGGCCGAGGTCAACAACAACCTCAATGTTCCTCCTCTACAGCCTTCTCATGTTGCTAGTCCCCAACATCCTTCTCATGTCGCTAGTGCCCAACATCCTCTTAATGTTGCTGCAAGACAAGCTGCTTATGTACACCTTCTGAGCATATTTAAAGGAAAAGATTACACTTTAAATAGTCTTCATGTACGGCAGCCGATTTTGACGCTCCAAACCAATACCCGCAAGATCGAGCTGCCATAAAAGTCCCTCATCTGCCAAGACGTGATTAGATAAAACCTCAAATCATTAGTATTTTGAAGCAAAACTAATTTTATGGTCTTAGCACGGAGCATCCGATGGATCACATAGTTATTTTCGAAAATATCTGCAGTACTACAAGAACTCCTAGAGTACATGAAAACTATTTAAACCGTTATCTTTTCCTTTTCTCTCTAGCTGACAAAGCTCATAGATGGTTAAAGTCTTTACTCCCATGATCGGTTACTAGTTGGGAAGGATGCAAGTCAACATTTCTCAACTACTTTTACACTAAGTCGAGATCCAACTATCTTAGAAACAAGCTGCAAGGATTTCAACAAGGACCTGTCTAATATGGAAATGTTTCAAGGTCTACGAACGTGATTGCCCTCACCAAAGATAACCTCTTAAGTACCTTCGATAGAGGATTATACCCCAAGTTTTCATCTTTCACTCGACACGGCCAACAATGAGGAGACTTTACTATCAAGATCGTTCAAGAAGAACAAGCTCTCATTAATAATCTTGCTACAAGCAACAGCAATGTCTGCACCGATTTCGATAGAACCATCTGTTGTAATGATTTGGATTCTAAGCAAATCAACGAACTTAAAAACATTATGAGTCAACTTCTAAGGAACCAGAACGGTGACGTGAACGCATATTATGGAAAAAATAACATATTATTAAAAGTCATGATTCTCCTAACATGTAATTAATTAATCTCTAAAGTGTTTTTCATTTACCTAATTACTCAAATTCGTATGTGTCAACATGCAGATACATGAATGTATATATCATCAGCAAGCACGTATCTATGAAATCACTACAATTGACTAATCAGGAGAAACACTGCTACGAGTTTATAATAAATTATCAAAGTAAACTCCATAGTAAGTCAAATTAATTATTAGTTATAAGCCATATTATTCTATAAATAAACAATAGAGAATTTGCATTAATAAGAAGACACCAAACAAACCGACAAAACCGTAAACTACTAAGAAGATACCAAGAAGGCGAAGATAACCCATAAAAAGTCAACTGTCTTTTTTCTTCATTAACAAAATTGTAATAAGAACGTAAAAAGATGCAAGAAAAAAGAACATAAATACTTCAAAAACTTATATCTTTAAATTCACTTAGTAATTTAAAACTACATTACTCCAATTTTTAGGACATGTCTTTAATTTAAAAATTTAAAATCTTATCAATTTTAGAACAAAAGTGATGGTTCCCTTGGAAAATCATAGTATTTGCTAAGAAAACTGATGATACGTGAAAATCTAACAAAGAAGCATTTAAAATGACTTCCCATCTAGTCAGCTTTTAAAACTGAATTTTGCAAGACTTCCATATCTTTTCATTAATCATATAATACAAATCACTTGTTTTCATTGGCCACCAATATATTGAAGCGCCTTTAACAAAACATAAAGATTTATATGGTTGATATGTATATATATATATATGACCAATAATAATGCATGCACTCCATAATTTTTCTTCCATTAATTAGCTATACTTCCATATCTTTTCATTAATCATAATTTGTTTTACAGTAACTGTTGTTTTATTATTTTTATATTGACTAAAACATTATTTAATATATCCCTGACTAAAATTCTAAACTAAATTTGCAATTTGACATCAAGCAAATGAGTCTATATATCAAGAAATATATGCATCTATCACGTACATAAATGTACTTATTAGTCTATTATGAAGTAAATTAATCGTCATCGCGTATATAAAATTATTCTGACTTCTCACAAAATCGAGGAAAACTCTCAGAATAAATTTTGACGTACGAATATTTAAGAATTCAAGCGAGCTAATAAAAGGGGTAGGAGATTTACAAAATACAAACAAAAGACATTAAAGCAATAATGCAATCGAATCATAGAACGAAATACATCCCTTTCACACACATTTCTGAAAGAAAACAAAACAAAAATATTTATACAAATGGATAAAAGCCCTTTAGGGCACCAATTTGATATCTAAAACTATAATTAAGAATAATGCTATGATACTATGTAGAGAGATTAAGACAAGGTTTATCTCTAATGAAGAATAATATCCCATAAAAATATTATTCTTGAATGTCATTTATGTTTACCAAAAAGGAATATATATATTGATAGAGAGAACTCTACACAAGTGACTAGAGAGAATAAGGTATTAAAATATTCATTTTCCTATTTGTATGGGGTTTTAACTTTTAAGTACTGATATATAGTAAGAAAACTTTACTAAAATCGATTTGTTCCAATATTATTCTTTCCTTCGATGCTTTCCGACTTCATCGAATTCACCAAAACCGAACTCTAGCATAGATTATGAAACTTTGTCCGCATAATAGGACAATATATCCATCTTACAAAATGACCGTAACACAATTATATATGTAATTTCTGCTACTAGCTTTCTAAGTCATTCTTTTTATTAGGGTCTTTTGATTAATATAGAATGATTTTCCTAGACCAACAATATTTTATACTGTTTATATAAAACTTAAAATGTATAAATAGATAGCTAGGGGAACGTTCTTATTACTCATTTTGTAGTAAGATTTCTCTACTATTAGCTTAAAAGTGAGACCTCTTTTCATCTCCCAAAAAATCTTTTTGACCATCACCATGAGTATTATCACGAATCCATCTAGTTTCACACTTGTTTTAATTTCCATTACGCTGGTCCTAGCTCTTGCTAGACGATTTTCAAGATCCATGAAACCAAAAGGTCAACTTCCTCCCGGCCCACGGGGATGGCCAATCATTGGAAACATCCTCCAAATGATCATGAACCGACCGGCTCACTTGTGGATCCACCGTGTCATGGAAGAACTGCAAACGGAGATAGCTTGCTTCCGCTTTGCCAGTTTCCACGTCATCACCGTAACCTCAAGCGAGATTGCCCGTGAAGTGCTTAGGGAAAAAGACGAGGTTCTTGCAGACAGGTCAGAGTCTTACGCCAGCTATCTCATAAGCAATGGCTATAAGGGCATTACTTTCACTTCCTACGGAGAGAACTGGAAGCTGATGAAGAAATTGATGACCACCAAGCTTATGTCCCCGACAACATTGAGCAAAACCCTCGGTTACAGAAACATAGAAGCGGATAATATTGTCACATATGTCTACAATCTATGCCGACTAGTGACGAAGCCGATTAACGTGAGGGATACGATCTTAACTTATTCCCACGCCGTGATGATGAGGATGATGTTTGGCCAGAGGCATTTTGATGAAGCTGTAGAGATCGGCGGTCTCGGGCCAAAAGAGAAAGAGCATCTGGACGCAATATATCTAGCTCTTGATTGCTTTTTCAGCTTCAACTTAGCAAATTACATCCCTTTTCTTAGTGGGTGGAACGTAGATAAAGAGGAGAAGGAGGTAAGAGAAGCGGTTCATATAATCAACAGATGTAACGACCCGATCATCCAAGCCAGAATACGTTTATGGAGGAAGAAAGGCGGAAAAGCTACGGAAGAAGACTGGCTCGATATCCTCATCACGTCAAAAGATGATCAAGGAATGCATTTGTACACATTTGATCAGATTAGGGCTCAATGCAAGGTTAGTGATGTTCACACATAGAATTGTTACACATGAAATTACGTTTTGTGGACTTCCAACTCAAAACTAAATGGTATCCCTTATATATTACTCGATATTCTTTCTAACTTCAAATTTGAGATTTAAACATGGTTTTATGTTAATCTTTCATAGGAAATCAATTTAGCAACAATTGACAATATGATGAATAACGTGGAATGGACGATAGCGGAGATGTTGAATCATCCAGAGATTCTTGAGAAAGCCACAAATGAATTGGACATGATAGTTGGGAAAGACAGACTTGTGCAAGAATCAGACATACCAAAACTCAACTACATCAAAGCTTGTAGCAAAGAATCTTTTCGTCTTCACCCTGCTAATGTGTTCATGCCTCATCATGTAGCCCGAGAAGATACTACCCTCGCGGGTTATTTTGTTCCCAAAGGTAATTAAAAAGTCAATCATTTATTCCGTGCACATAATATAGGGTTGATGAGTTTAGTGGCTTTATCTCAAGATTTCACAACTTTTATAGATATTGTAAAAACAAATTAGCATTGATAAAAATCAAGTAACTTGTCAGATAAAAGTAATAAAACATATTATGATTAAAATGAAATTTGGATGAACTCAGAACCGTATTCCCCAAACTCAGAAACACTGAGTATTACTTTATTAGAAATCTGGTTAAGAAGTTACAACTCTCTTAACTGGTTTTACACAAGACCTAAAACTACTTTTAGCTTGTCACCTGAGATTTCTAAGACTCACAAGAGAATTACAAGAACACACTCTCTAATCTCTCTTGTAACTTAAAACAGAGTAAAGCTTACTCTCTAACAGAACAAAAAAGCTTGCGTTACTTTTTTGCTTCAAAAACGGCTAACCCTAGCAAGAGCCTTAGCACCCCTTTTATGTTCACGAGGTCTTCAGATCTTCTAGGTTTAGTCTTCTCGATCTTGGATCTCTCCAAATCTCCATCGAATATCTTCTTGCCAAACTGAACTTATTCTGTTGTGATCACCACGTCATTCATTCATTTGGCGCCTATTCCACGTCAGCAACAATTACTTAGTCATTACTCCTGTATCCAAGAACAGCTTCAATCCTGTTCCGGCAACTTGTGCACTTATCTGAGCTCCTGGTATAGAGTGCACTTACAATCTCCCCCTTTTTGATTCAATTTGTAAATTCAAGCCATCCTGCAATGATTCTCTCAAGATTCACAAGCACACATCATATCAACGAAAAACAAGGCACAGCGGAATTATTAAAATTAAGTCTTAACTCCGAAAAATATTCAGACACAGGATCCTTGTTCGCAAAATACTGAAAAACAGAGAAAACATGGCATACATACAAAAACAATCCGAAGTAATGCCAAAAGTTAAGACTCCCCCTAGATCCTAGACCACTCAGTCTCCAAAAACTAGTCCACTCATTCACACCCTGAGACTGATCAGAAGAAGGCTGTACTAACCCATAATCTCCCCCTGCTTGTATGACACAATTGAGTCAAAAACAAAACTTCTACCAGGATTACACCTATGCACTCAAGACTCTAGTAAAGAAACTTGAAAACGTACCTTCCAACCAGACAGCCATGTTCAGCAGGAGAGTGGATGCGTGTCTTAGGTCTCCTGCCAATGAGGTTCCAAACACATACTCTCCTCGACGTCTTGGGTGATCTATACCACCTCTCACTTCTGGATTGAACTTCTTTGGAGGTGGATCAGGTTTTTCAAAGTTCTCCAAGGTAATCTCCCTCTCTGGTCATGAACTTCCCGATGAGTGAAATCTTTGTACCTTTCAATTCCCTGAGATGTGAGGAAGCGACTGTTCATCGGAGCATAGGGCGGCTTCCAAATCGAAGGGTCAGCTGCATCCTTCTTTGCTTGATGATAGCGGTGCATGCTGCAGCTGTCTGATGAGTCATATGGAACGTTCCCGCGGGTCTTCATGAAGTTCTTCAGCAGATCTGGCACCGGATCGTTGATTGGAGGATGCGAGGAGGATGGAGCAGATTTGTGGCCAGTCGCTTTCGAAGAAGATGGCATCTATTTGTCTGGCGGAGCAGTGCCAGAGTCAGCCGCAGCACCTTGTGGCAGAGGAGTGCCGGTATCAGCCGCAGCCCCTTGTGGCGGAACAGAACTCGAGGATCGACGAGCTGCTTTCGGGGGAACTTCTTCAATTGAGCTATCGGAATCATTGAGCTCCAATCGATCGGGATGAGAGCGTTTAGCAGCAGTACGAGTTCTCGCCATGGCTAGGGTTTGAGAGAGGAGTTGGGAACGACTCTCAAAGAGAAAGAAACACAAAAAAACTTGTAATATCCCGCGTGTCTTCCTTTTAGACAGAAAACTCAAAACCAAAAATTAGTACTAACCGGGTATAAAACCGGTTTAATCAAGAATCAATCAGAAAGCAGGCACTAAAAGTAAACACAGAGTTTTTAGTTCTGGTTTTGAATTTAAAATTTTAACATGGTACCTCTGAAGATCCAACTCAATTTTCTGAAGCAAGACAGTGATTGACATAGAACAAGTCCCTGTCAGTGTATTCAGAACAACAACCGTCTCTTCCACATGTTGACATCTGCGCAGTCCCAAAGCTGATTGTACAGTGCTAAGCTCATCCCCCTTTTTTTTTTTTTTTTTTTTTTTCAGACACTCAAAAACACACAATCTGCTGTTCCAACACATATGAGAATGTTGATTCTTCAAGAGTAGTCTTCACACTGTCATAGATCAGAGAGCTAGCGAGTCCTTTGACAAGGAATGTGACAGACTATGCAGCAGCATTCAGGCTCTATGTAACCACAAGGCTGAGAATGCGTTTCAGACCTTGTTAATATGCATCTTACTGCTCTTTTCTGCAGTGAGAGGAGAGTGCAAGTAGAGGACAGCAGCTCCTTTTTTTTTTTTTTATTATTATAAAACTGCTTCTGAACCTCCTTTATTTTGATTGATGTTTGCTCCTCTCACATATTTGTTAGGTAAACAAGATTTCTCCTTTGTTCCCTCGGGTTAGTGACAAGATTTCTCCTTTATCCCCCGTGACTTAGATAAGCTCATGCTTCATCTTATGACATGAAATGCTTCTTTTCTGCTCCTTTCTGCATTTCACGCCTTCCTGAATGCTCTACACACATTGTCCATCACATAATTTACTGACTTTGCAGCTCCAACACATGAAAGGTAGCTCTTTCTCTTGATGAACTTTTCAGCAAAAGATTTTTTTAAAAAAAAACTTGTTAATCAGGATCGTTTTGAAAAACACACTTCTCACTGTACAACCAACCCTGTTTCAGCACAAACACTCAACGAGAAGATAGTCAGAGTTCACAAACACCCAGGGACTTTTGCAAGTTCACAAACGTGTCAAAGTCTAAAGGCTTAGTGAAAATATCAGCAAGTTGGATTCCAGTGGGTACATGTTCTATGATAACTTGTTTTTCTTCAACTAATTCTCTAACAAAGTGATGCCTTATCTCAATGTGTTTAGTTCTAGAATGATGCACAGGATTCTTAGAGATCTCAATTGCACTTTGATTATCACATTTAACAAGTAAAGGTTCAAGAAATGACATACCATAATCCAGGCCCATTTGTTTCATCTAGAGGAGTTGAGTGCAGCAGCTGCCAAGGACAATATATTCAGACTCGGCTGTAGACAATGCTACAGAATTCTGCTTCTTACTGTGCCATGAGATGAGATTGTTTCCTAGAAAAAAACAACCACCAGTAGTACTCCGACGATCATCAAGATTCCCTGCCCAGTCAGCATCACAGTAGCCAACTAGTGCCAGACTAGTATCCCTGGTGTAACTAAGCCCGTAGTTCACTGTTCCTTTCACATATTTGACAATTCTCTTCACAGCTGCTAAGTGGAAAGCCTTGGGATTAGCTTGGTATCTTGCGCACAGTCCTACGCTGAGACATAAGTCAGGCCTACTTGCAGTGAGGTAGAGGAGACTCCCTATCATGCCTCTATATATCTTTTCATCTACCTTTTCACCAGCCTCATCCTTGGAGAGTTTCTGCGTAGTACTCATGGGAGTTCTGACCGACTTGCTAGAACATAATCCAAACCGTTTTACCAGATTTTGGGCATATGTGCTCTGTGAGATGGTAATGCATTCATCTGTCTGGTTCACCTGCAACCCCAGAAAATACTTGAGTTCTCCTACCATACTCATCCTGAACTCAGTTGTCATTGCCTGTACAAACGATTTTACAAGTTTGTCGGATGTTCCTCCAAAAACAATGTCATCTACATAGATTTGTATGATGATCATCCCATGACTGTCCTTTTTGACAAACAGAGTTTTATCAACATTCCCACGTATGTATCCTTGTACAATCAGAAAAGTAGTAAGTCTCTCATACCATGCGCGAGGTGCTTGTTTCAATCCGTACAATGCTTTTTCCAGTTTAAACACATGATCCGGGAACTCAAGACTTTCAAATCCTTTGGGCTGCTCTACATACACTTCCTCCTGTATGATTCCATTCAAGAAGGCGCTCTTGACATCCATCTGCTGCAGTTTAAACCCCATACCACACGCTGTGCCAAGAAGAAACCTTATGCATTCAAGCCTTGCAACCGGAGCAAATGTTTCATCGTAATCAAGTCCCTCAACTTGCGTGTATCCTTGTGCCACAAGCCTAGCTTTGTTTCTGATGATATTTCCCTCTTCATCACATTTGTTTTTGAAAATCCACTTAGTTCCAATAACATTCACCTTTGGAGGCCGGGGAACCAAATTCCAAACTTGGTTTCTTGAGAATTCTTCTAATTCATCCTCCATTGCAAGAGTCCAGAAGTGATCGTCCAAGGCTTCTTTAACATTCTTAGGTTCTGTTATAGAGACGAAACAGGAAAACATGATTTCTTCAAAGCCTGCGAATGAAGCCATCTGTCTGTAGTTCTGTTTTATCCCTCTTGTTACCATCTCACCGTTCAGGTCTCCGATTACATCCCCAGCAGAATGGTTACGGTGAACTTGGATTGGGTGAACTTCCTCATCAGATTCTTCTTCTGATTCATTTGCTTCACTGACATTTTGATTCTCATTTCCTTCCACTTCTTGGATCCTTGGAGTTGAGTTGTGAGCTTCACCACTATTACTTGCAATTATTTGCAAAGTGGGTATACTTCCATCATCAAAGACAACGTTCATTGACTCTTCTATCTTTCCCCTCCTCTTGTTCCAAACTCGATATGCCAAACTGTTGGTAGCATAACCAAGAAAGAAACCTTCTTCACTGCGAGAATCAAATTTTCCCAGCTGATCCTTATCATTCATGATGTAACAGACACATCCAAACACTCGGAAGTAACTTAGATTTGGCTTCTTCCCCTTCCAGATCTCATAGGGAGTTTTATCAGACCCTATCCTGACATACACTCGGTTTATGACATAGCATGCAGTACTAATGGCATCAGCCCAAAACTTCTCAGGGACTCCATTTCCATGAATCATGGCTCTGGCTATTTCTTGAAGAGTTCGATTTTTCCTTTCAACAACACCATTAGACTGTGGAGTTCTAGGTGCTGAGTATTGGTGGAAAATTCCTTGAGACTCACAGAAGCTGTTAAAGACTTCACTTAGAAACTCACCTCCGCGATCACTTCTGATTTGTTTTATTCCCATCTTCTTCTCATTTTTCAGCTGAAGAGCTAAGATCTTGAAGCTGTTGGCAGTCTCAGATTTTTCCCTGATAAATCTTACCCAAGTATAACGTGAGAAGTCATCAACCAAGACAAAAACATATCTCTTTCCGGCAATGCTTTCTGTCTGCATTGGTCCCATTAGATCCATGTGAATGAGATCTAAAACTTGAGTGGTCTGCACTCCCTCCACCTTCTTGTGTTGAACTCTAATCTGTTTTCCTTGGTTGCAAGCACTACACACGATCTTGTCAAGATGCTTTAACTCCGGTACACCTCTAACCATTTCCTTATTGACCAACTTGGACATGCTTCTGACATTCATGTGGCCAAGGCGTTGATACCACAAGACAGGGTCATCTTTTTCAGCTCTAAGACAAACTTTTGGTTCTTCCCACATTTAGCAGTTGTTACCGGTTCTAACACCTGAAAAAGCATTCTGATTCTTCTCATCTGTAGCCCAACACTTGACTCTGTTGAAGCTCACTGTTAATCCTTCATCACATAGCTGACTTACACTTATCAAATTTGCAGTAAGTCCCTCCACAAAGTAAACATTTGTGAGTTGCGGTTTTTCAGCTTCAGTCAAGTCTCCTTTTCCTCTAATTCTTCCTTTAGCTCCACCACCGAATGTGACTTTACTCTCCTTAACAGTAGTGTAGTTGTTAAGATTAGACTGACTTCCCGTCATGTGTCGAGATGCTCCACTGTCAAAGTACCACGGCCTTGACCCACCTGCTTCAGCTGAAGTGTATGCTACATGACAGTACAGATCGTCCCTCTTAACATACATCTTTGAAGCTCTGTGTTGATGTGGATAGAGCTTACCTTGTCGTTTCAGCTGGTTTACCTTAGCTGCATATCTGTAGCAGAATCTCTGAATGTGACCATGTCGTCCACAGTAGTAGCATTCGTAACCTGTCACTGACCTGTGATAGTGACTGTGATTGAAGTTCTGGTACTGTCGTCTTGCTGGAACAGCTCCAGTCTGGTTTTGAAACCCTGTCTGACGATAATTGTAGTTCTGATACTGTTGTCTTGCTGGAACAGCTCTGGTCTGGTTTATGAATCCTGTCTGACTTCGAACACCAGGTACAGCTTTGCTTGGAACAAAATTCGTCTTACCACTTGTTTCTCCTCCTTGATACCCCAATCCAAAGTTGGATTTTCCTGTTCTTCCAGAGGCTAAGATGCTATCCAAGTCCTTTATTCCACTGTTCAACATGTGTATCTTCTTGCGGGTATCGCTAAGTTCTTGAGTAAGCACTCTGACATTCTCCTCTTCCAACCCGAGTTTCTGAACGAGTTCACTATTCTTCTGATTCTCCAGAGCTAAGTCAGCTTTCAGTTTTTCATTTAGTTCCAAAAATTGCTAGCTTCTCTTCCATCCAAGCAATCTTCTCTTTACTCAGAAGACACCAGTTGTCATACATTTTCCTGAACTGTCCATCAACGTCAAGATCCTTCTCCATTTCTGATTCATCATCAGCTTGGACAATACTATCTCTGCCTTCTACATCACTGTCAGAGTTTTCTTCTATGATTCCTACAAAGGAAACGAAACCTTTCACATCATCATCTGAATCGTCATCTCCAGATTCACTATCGCTCTCAACAATGTATGATCTCTCCGGCTTGGATTTTGATCCAACACAGTCAAATTTCGAGTGTCCAATTCCCTTACACTCTGAGCATTTCAGCTCTTTTCTCTTCAGAGATGGACACTCGGCTTTAATGTGTCCGTAGCCCTGACATTCATGGCACTGAACCTCATTTCTCTTTCCACTCCGATCTCTGTCTCTATCAGCTCCCTGACCTCTTACAAATCCTCTCTTCTCGACTCGTCTGATTGCTCGATTAAAGTTTTTAGCCATCAAGCTCATTTCATCCTTCAGTTCTTGAATCTCATTCCTTTCACCAGACGCAGTTAGGGCCAATCCCTTAGAGGAACCACCTTTACCAGTAGTGATTTCTAGCTCATATGCCTGAAGCATGCCAACCACTTCTTCAAACTCAATTGTATCCGTGTCCAGTGAAGTTCCCATAGCAGTTCTCTTGCTCTCAAACCTTGAAGGAAGACACCTCAGTAGTTTTTTAACCAGTTTCTTGTCCTTATACTGCTTACCAAGGTTGTGTGCTTCACTAGCTATAGCACTGATCTTGCCGCTAAACTCCTCAATGGTCTCCATCTCATCCATGGTCAGATTTTCAAACTGCGATGCCAACATATCTATCCGAGATCGCTTTACACTGCTTGTTCCTTCATACGCTTTAGCAAGTTTATCCCAAGCCTCCTTAGCAGATTCACAGTTTTGGATTCGTTTAAACTGATTCTGATTCACAGAGTTGAAAATCAGAGACAAAGCTTTTGAGTTTGCTGTAGCTGTTTTTTCTTCTGCGTCAGTCCACTGATCTTCTGACTTAATCACATCCTTTCCATCTTCACCTTTAGTGACTGGGGGCTTCCATCCAACGCTAGTAGCAATCCAAGCTTCCTTTCCAAGTCCACGGATGAGTGCTCTCATCTTCACCTTCCAATGACCGTAGTTTCCTTTTTCCAGCATGATTGACTTACCGATAGCAATAAACTCCTTGGGGTAGTCCATCCTCTCCGCAGGATCTTCACCTGTTGTCAAGTACAACTTAGTTCAGATGCCTGCTCTGATACCAAGTGAAATTTGGATGAACTCAGAACCGTATTCCCCAAACTCAGAAACACTGAGTATTACTTTATTAGAAATCTGGTTAAGAAGTTACAACTCTCTTAACTGGTTTTACACAAGACCTAAAACTACTTTTAGCTTGTCACCTGAGATTTCTAAGACTCACAAGAGAATTACAAGAACACACTCTCTAATCTCTCTTGTAACTTAAAACAGAGTAAAGCTTACTCTCTAACAGAACAAAAAAGCTTGCGTTACTTTTTTGCTTCAAAAACGGCTAACCCTAGCAAGAGCCTTAGCACCCCTTTTATGTTCACGAGGTCTTCAGATCTTCTAGGTTTAGTCTTCTCGATCTTGGATCTCTCCAAATCTCCATCGAATATCTTCTTGCCAAACTGAACTTATTCTGTTGTGATCACCACGTCATTCATTCATTTGGCGCCTATTCCACGTCAGTAACAATTACTTAGTCATTACTCCTGTATCCAAGAACAGCTTCAATCCTGTTCCGGCAACTTGTGCACTTATCTGAGCTCCAGGTATAGAGTGCACTTACATAAAACTAAGTAGTCTCTTAAACTAAACCAGTAAATTCCTGGTGTAATCTTATTTTTAAAAAAATAAGAGAGGCATTTCTGACGTAAGAGATGCATGCCTGCACAACGTCATTATATAGTAGAAAGGAACATTTTAAAATGTCGTCATTATATAATGTAACCAACTAATAGGAACGGCGGGAGTTTAACGTTATCTTGGATATTAAATTCTAATAAAATCTTGTCAAACAATTAAATGATATTTATTCCAACATGGTATAGTCTAACATTATACAAATTTGTATTATATTATTCCAATGATAGGTAGTCAAATTCTTGTGAGCCGTGTGGGGCTTGGTCGGAATCCTAAAATATGGGACGAGCCTAACACGTTCAAGCCCGAAAGACACCTCGATGGCCATGTTGAGAACTCATTGGGCGTGACTCTGATAGAGCCGGACATGCGGTTCGTTACATTCGGTACCGGTCGGCGTAGCTGCCCAGGCACTAAGATTGGGACATCTATGACCATCATGTTGTTAGCCAGGCTTCTCCAAGGGTTCGAATGGACTCTCCCTAATGGTAAAACTCAAGTCGAACTCATTTCGGCGGAGAGCAACTTGTTTATGGCCAAGCCTCTACTCGCATGCGCGAAACCTAGGTTGGCTCCAAGTTTATATCCGAAAATCCAGTTCTAAAATTTCTACAAGTTGTTTGGATGACAAATTATCAAGTGATATAATCTTGTTAAGTACCATTTATGTTTTTTTTTAAATTATTATTCATGCATGTGCATGTTTGTGTGCTTTTATATCATCCCTTGACTTCGTTAAAAGCTTGGTAATAAATTTTGTGTAATTTTCCTTGTGGTTGTTGTAATTTTTTTTAGTCTTTAATGTGTTGTCCTACGACAATTAAAATTTGATGTATTCATATTCATATTCATATTAAAATCCGTGATCATATAACCCAAGCTTTAAATTCATATTCTATCCAACTTGGTATTCAAAATGTGAAATCAGATTAATCAAGTTTGACACAGGAAAGCTCGAACTCATAGAATAAAATTAAAAAAAAAAAAAAATGGCTCGAACTCATTATTATTAAACTGAAACAAAAACAATGAACCATAGTTCTAGTGGCTAGTTGTTGAATTACATAGCAAAGATTAGTCACCTAAGTACTATCTCCAGTTGAAATAGGAAGAACAACAGACGACTGATGAGAGTAGAAGTCGGTTTTCGAGAAGGACAAGATCTCGACTTGAAATTTGAGGGTATCGTTGACGACATAACCTTTGGATGCGTTTCTGCGATCTGAAAAAGGTATAAACCTGTCGAAACCCCATCAATTCTCTGTTGCATTGGGCCATGCCGCCACTATATATAGGTCAAAATCCAAAGTTAATACATATATTTCTTAAATTACTAGTAGTAAAGGATCAATGAGAAAGGAGATATCAAACCTTTTTTTCACGAAATGGTTGGATTGGTTCTGGTCAATAATTTGTAACTTGGCTTCCACGTAACCCTTATCATTTGACTCATTCAACAAATAGAGTGACAACGAATTACCCGTTGCATTTCCAACTCCATTTGGATACACTTTCAATGCCCTTCATAGTACACAACCCTCACATAATTAAACTAAAAATTAATCTTGTGTTGTTATATATATACAAGAGGAAGAGAGTCACGTACCAGTTTCTTCCACCGGAAGAAAAGTAATCAGAAGTGTAAGAGTCATGAAAGAGTGTAGAGAATTTGGTGAGCCTCCATTCGAAAATAGGGTCACGAATGTTTTGTTCGTTAGAGAAAACTTCCCATTTTTCAAAGTGTTGATGTCAACGCCAAACACAACGCTTCCGTCGTCGAAAGAGTATCCATATCCCGGATTTCTAAAATATTCAAGCGGAAGAAAAGTTAATAGTCCCCACTGTTGTTTAAACAAATGAAATCGCTGCGCATCGGTCTCTGCAAACCAATCAAACTTAATTAGTCCAAAGAAAACACAAATAGATATATCCCTCTCTCTAGATAGTTATAGTTAGTACCTTGGTATGATTGGTACTTGTCTGTACTGCTTTTATAAGCGAGGAATGTGATATCTGCGTACACATCTTTCGGATTGGTGATGAGGCTTGAGTTATCGATTCTTAAGTAATGTGATATAAATGTTGGTTTTCTTTGACTTAGCTCCTTTTGACATGGCCAGTTTCATCTCATGCACTTCTTGAGGAGTGAGTGGAGCTAGAGAGTGTTTCTTGTTGTTGTGAGTGAATGAGTAGTAGTTGGTTCGGCCATTGTGTAGAGTCTCTTTATCAAACTGCCATGGTCGTCCTAGAAGAAGGTGACCAGCTTGCATAGGAACCACATCACACACAACTTGATCTGAATATTTGCCGATGGTGAATGGTATGGTAACTTGCTCAGAGATCCTTAGTTCAGCCTCATCATTGAGCCATTTAAGCCGGTACGGATGAGGATGCTTTGTCTTGATGAAGCTGTAGAGAATGGCGGTCTCGAGCAAAAAGAGAAAGAGCATATGGACGCAATATACCTAGCTCTTGATTGCTTTTTCAGCTTCAACTTAACAAATTACATCCCTTTTCTTAGTGGGTGGAACGTAGATAAAGAGGAGAAGGAGGTAAGAGAAGCGGTTCATATAATCAACAGATGTAACGACCCGATCATCCAAGCCAGAATACGTTTATGGAGGAAGAAAGGCGGAAAAGCTACAGAAGAAGACTGGCTCGATATCCTCATCACGTCAAAAGATGATCAAGGAATGCATCTGTACACATTTGATGAGATTAGGGCTCAATGCAAGGTTAGTGATGTTCACACATAGAATTGTTACACATGAAATTACGCTTTGTGATGAGGGTTTGTGGACTTCCAACTCAAAACTAAGCGGCAATATCCCTTACATATTACTCGGGGTTCTTTCTAACTTCAAATTTGAGGTTTGAACATGGTTTTATTAATCTTTTATAGTTATATACTTATATACTATCCTACATGTAGGAAATCAATTTAGCAACAATTGACAATCTGATGAATAACGTGGAGTGGACGATAGCGGAGATTCTGAACCATCCAGAAATTCTTGAGAAAGCCACAAATGAATTGGACATGATAGTTGGGAAAGACAGACTTGTGCAAGAATCAGACATACCAAAACTCAACTACATCAAAGCTTGTAGCAAAGAATCTTTTCGTCTTCACCCAGCTAATGTGTTCATGCCTCATCATGTAGCTGCCCAGGCACTAAGATTGGGACATCTATGACCATCATGTTGTTAGCCAGGCTTCTCCAAGGGTTCGAATGGACTCTCCCTAATGGTAAAACTCAAGTCGAACTCATTTCGGCGGAGAGCAACTTGTTTATGGCCAAGCCTCTACTCGCATGCGCGAAACCTAGGTTGGCTCCAAGTTTATATCCGAAAATCCAGTTCTAAAATTTCTACAAGTTGTTTGGATGACAAATTATCAAGTGATATAATCTTGTTAAGTACCATTTATGTTTTTTTTTAAATTATTATTCATGCATGTGCATGTTTGTGTGCTTTTATATCATCCCTTGACTTCGTTAAAAGCTTGGTAATAAATTTTGTGTAATTTTCCTTGTGGTTGTTGTAATTTTTTTTAGTCTTTAATGTGTTGTCCTACGACAATTAAAATTTGATGTATTCATATTCATATTCATATTAAAATCCGTGATCATATAACCCAAGCTTTAAATTCATATTCTATCCAACTTGGTATTCAAAATGTGAAATCAGATTAATCAAGTTTGACACAGGAAAGCTCGAACTCATAGAATAAAATTAAAAAAAAAAAAAAATGGCTCGAACTCATTATTATTAAACTGAAACAAAAACAATGAACCATAGTTCTAGTGGCTAGTTGTTGAATTACATAGCAAAGATTAGTCACCTAAGTACTATCTCCAGTTGAAATAGGAAGAACAACAGACGACTGATGAGAGTAGAAGTCGGTTTTCGAGAAGGACAAGATCTCGACTTGAAATTTGAGGGTATCGTTGACGACATAACCTTTGGATGCGTTTCTGCGATCTGAAAAAGGTATAAACCTGTCGAAACCCCATCAATTCTCTGTTGCATTGGGCCATGCCGCCACTATATATAGGTCAAAATCCAAAGTTAATACATATATTTCTTAAATTACTAGTAGTAAAGGATCAATGAGAAAGGAGATATCAAACCTTTTTTCACGAAATGGTTGGATTGGTTCTGGTCAATAATTTGTAACTTGGCTTCCACGTAACCCTTATCATTTGACTCATTCAACAAATAGAGTGACAACGAATTACCCGTTGCATTTCCAACTCCATTTGGATACAATTTCAATGCCCTTCACAGTACACAACCATCACATAATTAAACTAACACATCTTGTATTTTTTTTTTTTTTTTTTTAACACATCTTGTGTTGTTATATATATATACAAGAGGAAGAGCGTTACGTACCAGTTTCTTCCTCCGGAAGAAAAGGAACCAGAAGTGTAAGAGTCTTTAAAGAGTGTAGAGAATTTGGTGAGTCTCCATTCGAAAATAGGGTCACGAATGTTTTGTTCGTTAGAGAAAACTTCCCAATTTTCAAAGGGTTTAACAATGTTGATGTCAACGCCAAACACAACGCTTCCGCCGTCGAAAGAGTATCCATATCCCGGATTTTCAAAATATGCTATCGGAAGAAAGGTTATTTGTCCCCACTGTTGTCTAAACAAATGAAATCGCTGCGCATCAGTCTCTGCGAACCAATCAAACTCAATTAGTCCAAAGAAACCACAAATAGATATATCCCTCTCTCTAGATAGTTAGTTAGTACCTTGGTATGATTGGTACTTGTCTGTACTGCTTTTATAAGCGAGGAATGTGATATCTGCGTACACATCTTTCGGATTGGTGATGAGGCTTGAGTTATCGATTCTTAAGTAAAGCGATGTATCCACCCGAGCCCGATGGAATGTCTGAGTTCGGGTAGATAATGAACGTCCTTATAACAATTTAAGCAGATATTTTATATAGTTAAAACATCTATTATACACATTAGAATCTTGGTTATGGTTAAAACATATACAAAAAAAAAATTCTATAATAGTACATTAAAATATCATCTCATATCAAAAATTCAACAACAATAATAAGGTATGTATCATGTATGGTCTTCTCGATTTATTTTCAATTGATTTTGAATTGGAAGCCAATGGGTACGTACCAGTTGTATCCACCAACGGAGAATGGACGTGACTCATACTTGCCACCATTTTCTTTGACCTGTTTTGCCATAGTGATAAAAGACTGGAACTTCACACAGTATGAATTTGGAGGACGAGTTCTTGTTTCTTGCGTTACTGCTTGCGAGAGCTTCTGTTGATCCTGACTAGGAACAGAGACAGAGGGACGACTTAACAAGCGACATGGAAGTTTCCCTGAGTCTTCCACCGCCAAGAAACCTTCTTCTACTACTGCTTCTGTCTCCATTAGGTTTTGAAGGTTGTAATAAGGTTTTGCGAATCTTGCAACTTCCACAATGAGTACGAAACAGAAGAAGCAGTACAAAAAGATTGAACCATAATTTTTGCTTTTCTTTTCATCTGAAAACATTTTTCTTTTTCTATGTTTTGTGTGTTTGTAACAATGACTTGTTTTGTGTACGTATATATATATAGACATAATGTGTCACGAGATACACGTATATTAGTTATTAGTACTTATCAGTAATACACATCTTATCAGATCGTGACACGTACGTATTCGCTATTTAATTAGCACGTTCTCACACAAAGTAATTCTTTTCTGCTGCATCATAGTCAACGTAGAGTTGTAGACAACTTCGTGTTGCGCACGTCTCAAAGTAGCTTAGAAAAACCATTAATGAGATCTCGATTTCATAACAACTACGAGACACGACTGGAGTTTCCAAGACACCTACATCTTGAAGAGCATAGTGAAAAGATATTCATTTATGTTAATAGAGATTTTATTCTTTAACAAAAGAAAAATCATATATATGAAAGGAGACTATCTCTTTCCATCTTTCCGCCACTTCAGCATTTTGGACTCTTCTGGAAATGATACATCAGCTTTTAATTCGCCCAATCAAAACATTTTATTAATACACATCAGCTTCTAATTATAAGTGTCAAATGAAATAAACAAAATAGCCCATAATGGATGAACCATATGTGTTTTAGAATCTATTAGAGTGCAATATTTATGGGTCGAGCCCATTTCAGTGATAGCTTAATGCTTCTAAACCCAACAAATATTCTAATTCCCTACAAGACTTTAACAAAATAAATCTCTCTCACTCTCTGCTCGATCGTTCAATATGAAAGAAGAAGAATCTCAAGGAAAACTTCTCGACTTCGTAAGTTCCATCCTTCATAGTCTCCCTTTATGTACATCATATTTCTTTAGAACAAACGTTTTCTACCTTCTAACTGCCAGAATGGAGACCACGGTAGAAGTTACACAAAAATATATTCACACTCTCAGCTTATGGGATTACAAACTTTCACTACTATAAACTCTATAAATACTCAAACAGACATTGTTTATACCGGATTATATGTGTTTCAGACAACATCGGTAAATGTTTACCAAGGTGCAAGGAACATAAAAACGATACAGAACCACCATCATGTACAACCTACACGGGAATTACAAAATAAAAACATCAGATACAACTCAAGTTGACAATATCGATATACACAACATTGAATAGCTACTCACCTGAATTATCACTGAGGTGGTGGTATTTGAAACAACTGTCAAAACACAAATACTCTGTAGCGTCCTTTTCAGTATCGTTTCATACTCCCTTTCAACTTTTCCTATCAATATTCAAAGCAAAAGTAATTCAGATCTAAAAACCAAGAATTACCTGTATGACATACTCAAGCAACAAAATAAGCCTCCTTCTGAAAAACTAAACGCATTTACGATTACCAATCTATCCGGTTTAAGGCTTCCATATGACTTCAAAACAAGTCTTCTCAGCATTTTCGTTCTTCTTCGTTCCTGCTTTAGGTCCGTATTGTGCAGGTAGAACTTTTGTATCTCCTGAAAATATAAACGAGAGAGTTCAATGAATCCCATTCAAAAAGGATAAAAAAAAACTTTGTACCCATAATAGATATTGAGAAAGCTGATAAAGTACCTTCTGACCAACTAGCAGAGCCATGAGGATGATGAAGGATATTACAGGAATAAGTAAGAGGTTTCAGCTAACAAGTAAGTCTTTTTTCCGGGTTATATTTCAAGTCAAAAAATAGATTTAATCTTAAAAATTGTAACTACATATAAGATAGATTTAATTTTATTAACTATATAATAACAAATAAAAAATAAACATAAATTAGCAAAAATAATCAATATTCACAATTTTCAAAACAAACCCACGCGTAGCGTGGGTATTCATCTAGTCTCTTATATAATATGACAAAGTTTCTTCTTAACTTGCTCTAAAATTTTGACATTTGGCATTCTATACATTTGACATGTGTCCACATATTTTTTCCTATTTATTATCTTATAATTTTTTCCTTAAAATCTTTTTAATTACTCATTAAATTTCAATAAACAAAAACGGAAAATTTATTTGCAAAACCCTCTTTACTTACTCACTGACGATTTTCATTAAACGAAACGGCAAAAAAAAGGTTCGGCTACTTACTGCCTTTCTTCTTCTTATTCTTCTTCTCTTTCAATTAGGTCTATTTACCCTACCAGCTTCGTGGCTAAAGGTACCTCCGGTGACGCCATCATCGTGTAGATGGTTCTTCTCCCATAGTCTTATTCCGTCTCAGCCACTATTCGCCGATGGTATTGTATGTTTATCCTCTAGGTGAATTAACAGTCGTTTCAAATCCTTTTAATTCTTACACTTTATCCATGTTTTTAGAGGGATACAACATCCGGAAAACCAGTAGTCATGTTTGAGTCTATCTATAACATAAAAACATATTTTCCATGGAATATTTTTCATCAAAATAACTAATATTAAAAAAAATATAAATGGGTTTAAATGGATACCCATTTATTTGTATGAAAATCCATTTAATAAATGAAACTCATGGTCTTCTGTTTTGAGTTTCAAAACAGTATATGGTAAAAAGGAATGGTTAAGAGCTATTCTTGGAGAACGGAGCATGAGGCCGAAAAGGTACATATAGTCTTCTCTTCTCTCTTGATGTCTCTAATGCCTACGTATAGTAGTCTTTTTTACTTCCTTAATTAATTACATCGATTACATGTGATCAAGGAAGATACGTCGTATGAGAAGGAGAGGTTTGATAGATTTCTAAATCAAGTGGAGGCTGAAAACCAAGTGATACTTCGGTTGGGAAGTGAGCTTAAAGTTGAAAGGAACGATTTATCATAGCCAGGTATAGAAACTATCATCTTGCAATTACTTCTTTTCTTTGCAAATCAAATGAGCATGAATAGAGCGTACACAATGAGATAGACGAAGAAGAGGAATGAACTGTACTCTTCTTTTTAGATAGAGACAGAAGAAATTTCTAAATTACGACTTAGAAAGAAAAAAATCTAAATTGTGTGTTAACGTAGCCTCTTCACATTGATTAGTGAAACTCAAAAGCTTTGACAATTGAGAATGTGACAAATCAAACTTGGAGAGGTTTTCTCTTCACGTCATCTATAGGTTTGTATTTATGTTTGCAGGGATTGAGCTTAGGATAGAAAGAGAAGAGAAAAAGTGCTAGAAGAAGCTAGAGGACGTTGGGAATGTATGGCCTCAATGTCATTGTTGACAGTGACCTATACGAACAGAGAACAACCAAACCTACTTGGCTGAACGCAAGAAAGCAATAACTGACGACAACTGAACCATGAAGATAGCTGAAAATTTGGTATGAAGATAGCTGAACATATGGTTGCTATGCTAAAGAAGATGGCCACAGATGTAGGAGAGAAATCCAGAGTAATATACTCGATCATAGAGAAGTTATGCCGTATGGTATCAGCCTTAAAATTCATGCATGGAATGGAGAACAAAGCTTTGATCTACATAGTTTCTCGTGTTTCTTCAACTTTGTTCCCTTCTTTCATTGGTCTTAGATTTTCGACGATTTGAAGAACACATAAAAAATGAAATTATAGTCATAAAACAAAAGTTGTCGGACAATTACAAGTCAGTGATGCTCAAGAGGAGCCACATTTGCTTCTTCCCCTTATTTCTAATGGATGCTAATGCTATAGTGAACATTAATAGTTGTTCTGTGTCAAATAACCAATATAGTGACACAATACTTGGAAGGTAAGAAATTTAAACTTAAGCTTATATACCGTTACGAAGCTATGATAGTCATAAAATTATTGCATTAGATAGAACATATTATTCATGAACAATTAATCGAAGATTTTATCTGTGAATAAATTACTACATTAACAACAACAACTGTACGTGGTTATTAGGTTGAAAACGTATAATTAGTGATGTTAACTTGGGCATGAAACCCTCATTTAATAAATGAGTATGTACAAAACAAATTAACCCATTTAAACCCATTTAGGGAAAAATGTTAAATGGAGTTAAATGGGTACTCCAATTAAATCCATTTATTAAATGGATTTTCATACAAATAAATGGGTACCCATTTAAACCCATTTATATTTTTTTTAATATTAGTTATTTTTATTAAAATGTTAATATCTTAATAACTACTCCCTCCGTTTCGTTTTAGTTGTCGTTTAAGGTTTTTTCACACAAATTAAGAAAATCATTAAATTTTCTGTTTTACCCTTTATTAATATATTTTATAAAAAATTTCATTGGTCAAAACATTAAAAAAATAGGGATAATACTGGAATTTTTACCAAACATTTGCATTGAAAACTTAAAACGACAACTATTACGAAACAAAATTTAAGTCCTAAAACGACAATTAAAACGAAACGGAGGGAGTATTAAATATAATTAAAACTAAATTATTCTAATTAAATTCAATTTTGGATTTAAATATTTAAAACAAAACGTAAAACCACGTCTCCTATAACATGGTATGCGAATTTGGCGGGAAAAGGTCATTATACGGTATGATATTTTTTGGCTATAAAACGCAATTTTGAAATTATGGCGGGAAAACGCGGGTTTACGGTATTGGCGGAAAAACGCGAGTTTACGGTTTTGGCGGGAAAAACGTGGGTTTGTGGTTTTGACGGAAAAAACGCGGGTTTGCAGGTTTGGCGGGAAAACGCGGATTTACGGTTTTGGCGGGAAAACGCAGGTTTACGATTTTGGCGGGAAAACACAGGTTTGCGGTTTTGGCGGGAAAACTCGGGTTTACGGTTTTGGCGGGAAAACACTATTTTATGGTATGATATTTTTGGTGATAAAACGCAACTTTGCGATATGGACGGCAAAAAGGCATTTATCTGCCAAGACTGTAAATCCGCAGTCTCTCGCCATAATCCTCCAGATTGCGTTAATATCACCTCAAATATCATACTATAAAATAGCGTTTCCCGCCAAAATCGTAAAGTATTTTTCCGCCAAAACCGCAAAATTACGTTTTTTTAAAAACTATATTATTCTTCAACAAAACAATAAAAACAGTTATATCATTATTTATCAATTATATTTAATGAAATAATCTGTAAA